TCAGGGCTCTGTTAAGAATTTTAATGCCCACATTTTCTTTTGAGAAGGACAGCTTCCAAGTTTGTGAAGTAATACTATCCTTTTACCTATTATAAGGACAATCTTCCCTTCCCTTCCTTGGAATCTGTACAATTATTTTACTAATTTGTTTACTAGGCTTGGAGGGAAAGCAAAGGTTGAGTTTTATAATATACTAGTGGCCTGGTGCACAAAATTTGTGTGGGGGGTGAGGGGGTGGTGGTGTCCCTCAGCCAGGCCTGCACCCTCTCCAATTTGGGACCCCTCGGGGGGTGCCTGACTGCCGGTTTAGGCCCAATCCCTGTGGGCCTAAACATCCCTCTTGCAATCCGGGACTGCTGGTTCCTAACTGCTCACCTGCCTGCCGGCCTGCTCACCCCTAACTGCCACCCCCACCAGCCTTCTCGCCCCCACTACCCCCCCCCCTTGCCGGCCTGATCACCCCCAACTGCCCCCCACTGCCAGCCTGCTCGTCCCCAACTGCCTCCCCTGCCGGCCTGATCGCCCCCAACTGCCCTCCCCTCCTGGCCTGATCACCCCTAACCACCTCTGCCTCAGCCCTGCCACCATGGCTTTGTCTGGAAGGACATCCAGAAGGTCTCCTGGTCTAATTAGCATATTACCCTTTTATTAGTATTGATTCTGTGTATTAAGCAAACTCGGGACTATACATTTGTATTCATAATATTATTTATGGTTTATAAGAAATACCTCACTGTATGAGAAATATTTATAACATTTCATTTCTGATTTTCCCATGAACATTAATAACAATTTGAATTGCAAAAATTCTGCTTACAAACAACTTTTCAGAAACACACAATCTGAATAAAGCAAGGCACACCTAAATTGTTAAGTAGCCTGTTCCTCGACTATCAGCTTTAAGCATCTTTATTTAGACCATTCCCTTCATTACAACTGGGCTGACTTGCTGTCAGATTACAGTGCCAAGTCTAAGAAGTTAAACACCATGGACAGCTGCTTTCTAGGCCAATGACAGCCTAGCACCACAGCAGATCAACAGACCTCAGCAGCCGGCCGGGCACACTGAACTGCTTCTAAAGCCCTGGAACTCCCCTGCGCCGCATCCTTCAGGACTCAAACTCACTCCTAACCAGCTGTGGAGAGGTTTTTAGATGAGAATCTCAACCATTTATAAATAAAAACACCCTTAAAACAAAAATCTCTGCTTAGCATAGCTCTTTCTAAACCCCAGCTAATGGCCTACTTATTGCAAGCAAAATTCTACACAATAAAATTTTAGGATACCAAAGGCATTTGGAGGTCTCCTTGGAGTTTATGATAATAAGTGGCCTGCATATATATATATATATATATATATATATGCCTCTAAACAATGGCCTGCTTAACTCAGTGATTCACTGGGGTGAATGCCAACCTTTCAGAAATGTTTTGAAATTCTCAAATTTGAAATAATGTATTCTGATTCTCTTTCCATTTAAGAACGAAAGATCAAAGGAAGAGAAAGAACATTTACTGAACAACACACATTTGCCAAGGACTATGGTAGCTGCTGAACAGTCTTCATTTATTAATTTTCCAAACTTTATCAAGTAGGTATTATTATTTTCATTAGGAGGCTCAGAGAGTTTATGTGACTTCTCTGAGATCACAGGGCTTATTACACACATGGGGTTAACCCGCCCCCTTTTTTTTCCACGAAGTCAAAGCCTAGGGTACCTTTATCCTGTTGTGACACTACACAGCTTTTTAAAAAGGATAATATGATCACTAAAATAAATAATTACAAATAAAAACCACACAGGGTGGAGCAATTGAGATGATAAACTATGACTTTAACTATGAAAAATATGGCCGTTCACATTTTTCCATGCTTCACAGTTGCCCCATGAGCTACTTCACCAATAATGGAACCAAATTAAGACTTTCAACTTGTCTATGAAGCAAGTCATTCCAAAGATATTTCACTGACTAGAGTCCAGCAGAGCTGATGATTTTTTAGCCAGAACCTTTAATGATTTGTACAAGAATATATAAAATGTTTCCTCTACTTCTCCAAATTCCTATGCCCCATAATTATGCAATAAGATAATACAGTGGCTTTGCATGAAGACATGCTTAGTATTTTGCTTCCTAAATTTACATACAGCACATTTCTCTTTAAGAAGACTCCACTGAGGGCTGGATTTTGGCTTAGGACCTTCCTTTTGAGTGTTCTGAGGATGCTAGAAGCACTGACTTCTGTGGGAAAGGTGGGGTGCACAGCCAGAAATCAATCTTGCACATCAGAGGATTGTATGGCCACGCCCAAGGACTCATCTGCCTGTGGGACACCTTATGTTTAGGGCCTCGGGAGCAAAATCTCCATAAGATTCTGAAATCAGGTGCTTGATAAAGACTAACTGCTGAGAACAAAATTTTTCAGCAATCATTCATTCAAAAGTGAAATTGACAAGGCAAAATTTTACTTAAGGAAATCGCACACCATTATGCACCGTTTCACCTAAAAATGTATAACTGTGTTCTAGCATTTTGATTCACCCAGCAAACATTTTGCTTACCGAACAAGGCATAACTATGTTAAAAATTATGATCCCATTATATTAATAGTTCAACTTAGTTTTTGAATACCAAAAGAAATAACTCTAATTAAAAGGAATAAATTAAAGGTATTTGGTGCTAAAAGGAAAATAACACATGAACACACTGGGGAGGAAATCAGAAACAGGAGTAATAGTCATAAATATAATCTTCTTCCTATTTTAATTAGATAAATCTGCAATCTCCAAATTAAAATATGCACACTATTAAGCATAGCGCAAAATTATGGAACTGAGTAACAACTATTAAGGAATGTGAGCCTAAGTTTCTGACTTTTAAATGACCATAAAAATGACATGACAGTCATCTAATACAGAAGGTAAAAATCCTGCTAGAGCTACTTTAATGAATGGCTTCTGACTGACCAAACGCTGTCTATAAACGGTATTTAAAAAGTTATTCCCAAATGCATGAGACCAGCATCCCACCCCAATCAGAATACAAAACCCCCTGCAATCTTCAATACACTACTGCATTGCCCTACAAATTCCTTTTTCATGAATGTTGCCAACATAACCTTTAGCCAAGTCTGTATCTAAACTAATGAAGTTCCACGATGCAGTGGTCCTCAACCTTCTGGCCCTTTAAAACAGTTCCTCATGTTGTGACCCCCAACCATAAAATTATTTTCGTTGCTACTTCATAACTGTAATTTTTATACTGTTATGAGTCTTAATGTAAATATCTGATATGCAGGATGGTCTTAGGCGACCCCTGTGAAAAGGTCGTTAGACTGCCAAAGGGGTCGCGAGCCACAGGTTGAGAACCGCTGCACTATGGGGTAACAGAAAAAAAAAAATGGTGAGTTCTCAAAAAGACATTTTACCCTTGATGTGCTCAGGATATTTATGACACCAAATCATTTCCTTGCCTCTAAAATATATGCTGTTCCTTCAGTACTCTAGTTGCCATAAGCACGTAAGACTATTAATGCAAACCACTCAAACTAGCAATCAGAGTCAAGGAGAGGGCTTGCGGGGTCATCATTTTGGCTATAAAGTTAGAGTAGGGAAAGGGGCTTTAGTAATGACCCTGTTCTACGCCCATATACTCATGTATCACATCGGAATGCTTATTTGCATGTATACTGCGAAGTGATTATTTTTACTGCAGTTTCTAACAAACACCCATACACTGAGTGAAATATTAAAAAATACAGTTCTCTTTTGCATATAATAAATAGAAATATTACTGGTATGTTTTTCTGCACTCTGCTCCCATTTCATGGCTGCTACAAAAAAAAAAGAAAAGAAAAGAAATAGATAGGTCATCGAACTTGACCATAAAGGAGTTATACTAAATTGATATAATTTTTTTTCTTTTCATGCTGAACAAAATATCTCACCCTCCGCTCAACATCTGTTTTTTGCACACATGAGAATTTCCCCAGATGCTAGTATGAAGTCTGCATATGTATTTTGGTTTTCTGTTTAAAATCACATTCAGAGGCAACATCCCAATGTGAGGATTGACATTTTCCCAGATCAATTTCTTCTAAGCTCTTTACCAATTTGCTCACCAGCTAAGTGGTAGGATGGCCACTATTGTCATTAAAAACCCCTCAAAGTCTACTATAAAAATATTTTGGGGCATGTTTATCATGTGTGCGAAATGTGCCATCAAGCTACATCTACATCGGCAGACAGCAGGGCCTGCCAGTGACTCTCTGTAATGGATCACAATCAGGCCCTGACCAAGTGATCCGGAGCATTTCTGTGTGGATCAAGAATAGCCATGACCCACTCTAATGACCAGTCCTGCTAGTTGCTAGGCTGTTGACTTAAAGAGATAGCTTTGGCCCTAACCGGTTTGGCTCAGTGGGTAGAGCGTCGGCCTGTGGACTGAAGGGTCCCAGGTTTGATTCTGGTCAAGGGCATGTACCTTGGTTGCGGGCACATCCCCAGTAGGGGATGTGCAGGAGGCAGCTGATGGATGTTTCTCTCTCATCAATGTTTCTAACTCTCTATTCCTCTCCCTTCCTCTCCGTAAAAAAATCAATAAAATATATTTAAAAAAAGAGATAGCTTTGGTGACACAAATGTTCTTTCTTAATTACCATTAACTTCCCCATGAACATTAAATTGTTCACAGAATCATTATACCTACTTGCAGAAATTAAGAGACAGATTATTTTGTTTACTGAGTCTGCTCTGGGGTACTTATGTAACCTATATTTATATAGGTGTTTTACTCTGAAGCAAGCAGCTTGAGAACTTAGTAAAGACTCACAAGAACATTTCCACATAATTTTTCTCACTGCCATGTTAGTCTGGCTAGCAGAGAACTGTAGAAAGCAACCCATTATCCACTGCAGCCCCAAACACCATCACATTAAAAAATGGCAGATCTCAAAAACATCATAATTCAGAACATTCGATAAACAGCCCCCCACCACCAACCTTTGCTTGGGCCTCTGGTGCTGCCACCTTGACGACTTTATTGCAGCTTATCATTTGCTTCACCCATCTTTCCACCTGGACGTTGAATTTCATGAAGATCACATAGACAAAGTAAGCTGCTAAGAGAAGCAAGCTTTCCCACCACATGATGACATTGTCCAGGAAAAATATGATCAGCATGATCAAGTCAATGATGTAGAAGGACACATCCCGAAAGAGTGGCCACCACGTCAGGTTCAAGATTTCTCTGGAAAACAGGGCACACATGCCAATAACAAAGAGGATATTGAACACCGCCGAGCCCACAATCGTGCCTATGCCGACATTGCTGTGAGCAATAAACACCCCGATGAGAGACGTGAAAAGTTCTGGGGCCGAGCCCCCAGCAGCCATAAAGGTGGCTCCGGCAACATCATCAGAGATGGCCAGCTTTTCAGTGATGACCGTCAAAGAAGGAACAAAGAACTCATCGCAGACAATGGCTAAGGCGATGAACATGTAGATCATGCCAATGACGTGGAGAAGGATGGCGCCTTTTCTTCGCTCCTCGAGGGAAAAGATGTCCCGTGGATAGTTTCCTTGCTCCTCCTCGGTACTATTCTCAGGGGTGCCGTCCTCAGAAAGAGGTGGCTGTGAAGTGTAATCCGGAATCTTGTCATTTAAGTCTAAGAGAGTTCTCTGCCGGTAACTGGGTGCCACCCCGGGGCCCTCTGCACCACTGGCCTCTCCTGCGCTCTGTGTCTCTGTCTCAGAAAAGACACTGATTGCAAATGGGACCCCGCTGATGGCTACCAGGCCCATGAAAAGGCCTAAGATTCGGATGAACTTCAGTTTTTTCCTGACAGTATAATGTTTCCTGCAGCCAGCCGGTGACTTCTCTGGACACCGTTTCTCAGGGAAAGTGAGGGGGGTGCTCTGGTGCGGCTCCATCCCGGGTCTCCTGGTGGGCGCGGTGGTCTTCCAGTTGTAAACTCAACCAGACGGCTCTCTCATACTTTGCCTCACTTGAGAGTCAATGGTGCTTGCGTGGGACTTCCAGTCAGGGGTTCTTATGCGTCACAGGAAATACTTTTGACATTTATGCTTCAAAAGATAAAAACAAGGATAAGGTAATCATAAATATGTCTTTTTTTTACAAAACGAACTTTGTAGATTGAAGACCGTCCTATCCTATAGCTGTGCGAGTTATGTAACTCCTTTGTGCCTCAGTTACCCCATTTCAAAAACGAGGACAATGGCAGCACCTACCACCAAGGATTGCTTTGAGTTAAAGCACATGAAGCACTGAGAACAGGATGTGGCACATAGTCGGCACTTACAACAATGTATATACAGACACAAGCATTTTGGTAAGTCCAATGTTAGGTATAGACTATGTAGATGTGTGTGAAGTATAAAAATTTTCTAGATGAAAATCTGTCTGTTTATTCCACCCTAAATCACATAACAACCTCCCAGTGCTACAAAGATACCACTGCTTTTAGAACTACCTATGTACTTGACAACCAACAACTGTTCACTGTTTTCTGTTAGTCCAATTATGTAATTCCAGTCGCAGGCACACCTTCTGATTTAACCTACTGTTTGGAAAGGGTTGAGTGCTGGCGGAGGGAGCAATCTTTTCCTGAACACATAAAGATCTCAGGATTTGATTTTTTATGAACAGCTTCTCCTCTATCAGATGCAGAAAGCTAGACCTTGAAAAATTTAAGTTTACAAAAGAATGTTCTAGCGACACGAACAAATGGTCTTCCCTCTACATCTAGACATTGTTGTCAGCCAAAGCTCATTTTAAAAACCAATCTCCAGTCATATTTGAAATAGACAACTTAGCAAATCAAACAACTCTTAACAAGAAGGCTATTTCAAGAGACCAAATGTGCACTTCATAAACAATATGCAAGTTGCAGCAATACCTCCAGCCACAAAACCTGCCCAAAATAGCCCCAACACCGATTCATAGTCAGACATCCAAGCAGCTCTCATTCTCTAGCCCACAGAGGGGATGGGTAAAATATCCAGACCCCGCCGCTGATATTCTGAAGGTTCCTCTCTCTAACTTCCTTTAAAAACAGTCTCCCCTTCCTCCTCCGCACCCCCTCTCCCCCCTCAATCCCCACATCAAAGATTTCACTTTAGGGACATTCGCAGAGATCATCTCAGGTGTCAAATAAGCTAATTAAACACACGCCAGTTAAACACTGAGATTAGCTGGAGCTCAGGTTTGCAGAGCAAGAGCACAAGTCAAACCAGGCGGAGATGCTGCTTATTTCTGAGATAAACCAAGCCCGTCACAGATTCCCGGCGGCTGGCAGCTGTCTGTCTAGGGCTAGTCTTAGCAGGAGCCATGGAGCGACTCACAGCTCTCCGGGGATCGTCGCAGACAGCGCTGAGCCGCTGAGCCGGCCGCCGGCAGAGACCAACTCAACTCCCAGGGTGCACAGTCGGCTCCAGCTGGAGTGGGGCTCGACCCGCAAACCCACAGCTCCGCTCCAGGAGAGCGGCCCCCGCCGGCGAAGTGTGCCCCCAGCCACGCCCCAACTTTGCCTCGTGTGGTCCCGAACTTTCCCCGGTGGGTTTGCAGAAGAAAACTAAAGGACAGGCTGTCCCATCCGCGAGCCAGGAGCTGAGCTGCAGCTCGCGGAGGCGCTTGGCCCACATCTCCCCGAATCGTTAGCGGTGGGTGGGGAAAGGGGAGCACCCCTCGGTGCGCTCCCCACCCCAAGCCGGAAGCTAGGGCGGTAGGTGGGAGCCGCGGAGGCTCGGGAGCCGCGCCGGGAGCGGAGAGAGTTGGCTAACTCCTGGCGGGGCCTGGGGCAGCCACGTCCACCGCGGAGCCACCTGTGAGGCTGCGGCGGCTGGCAGCGGGGTGCGCGCCACCGGGATCGGGGACAGCGACCAAGGACCGAGGCGGCCGGCACGCCTGGCGGCTGGCAGCGGCTCGGGCTCCGGCACTCACCGGGATCGCCAGGGAGACGCGCACACGGCCGGCGTCCGGGCGCGGTCTGCGCTCCAGTCCAGCGCTCCTCCAGCCCTTCCCCGGCCCTCCGCCTCCCCGCTCCGAGGCCCGGGCTCGGGCTCCGGCTCGCACTCGCCGCCGCTGCCGCCGGCCGGGCTGGGTTCCGAAGGAGACTGAGCGCCGTGAGCCCCGCGCGCCGCCTCCGGTGCGGCCCGGCCCCTGCGGCCCCTCCCTCCCGGCTCTGCGCGGGGAGCGTGGCCGCGGCGCGCTCGGCTCCCGCGCGCTCGGCTCCACGCCTCCCGGGAGCAGAGGCGACGCCGGCAGCCGTCTCTTAGGAGATTTCTCCGCAGTGGGAACCGGGGTCAGGATCTGCGGGCGAGCAAGGACGGAGAGGAGACATCGTCCAGATCGGGTCGCACCGGATTCCCCAAGCCTGAGAGTGCTGCCAACTTTGGTGTCATCTATGCCCGGCAGCTCCTCCCTCCCCAGTTGTTTGCAAAAAGTGACAACAGTTACTGTTTCTTTGGGAGGGGATGTCATGTGGAAAGGTGGAAAAGATGTTTGGGGGAAAGGCATGAAGGCCTGCAAGGCCGTCTGCTCCCGGAGTCCCAGCTTCGCACGGTGGGAACACTGGAGGCTTATTTCATGGGTGATGAAGCTGAGATCTAAAATAGTGTCATCTTGAGTTACAGACAGGGCTCAGATGCTGGCATCTGGGCTCCCAGCTCAGGGCTCCTTCCTGCCCTGTCTGGAAAGCAAGAGCCTCTTGACCACGAGAAAATGAGTCAGGCTTGTCGGAGATTAGAGGCAAGAAATGGGCCCAAGAGTGGGAGCACACGAAACAAGCCAGTTCATGAGGGACCCCCTTCTACCCACCTGTGACCGCCTCCAAAACTGCCAAGAGGCACCCACGAGAAACCCTGGGACTTTCCCCACTCTCCTTACCCTTCACCCTCCTACTGTTTTCCACTTAGAGGTGTTTTGTTTTGCTTTGTTGTTGTTTGTTTTTTAAAGGGCTGGAGGGTGCCCCTGGTCTGGAACCACCCTGGCAAGCAAGAGTGGTTGGCAAGCGAAGACTTGACAGGAAGAAGGAACAGCTGAGCTAAAGCCAGCCCAGGCTTCTTTTTTTTATTGTCTTCCTGGGACTGGGGGGATGTGGGTCATATCCGGATAGCTCCCTACTTATGAATTTGAATACAGTTCTATACTCAGACCTCTATCTACACTCACTCTTCTTACATCAAAAAAAGCCTTAGAAATCTCTTTCTCCCATCAAAGTCAGGCACTTAAGACCATTGTCTTGCTAAGGACTTCAGGGTCCTCTTGGAAGTCATAAGCTGAAGATTTTTTTTTATCTTTCATTTTTATTTTGGAAAATTTCAGGCATACACAAATGTAAGAGAATAGTATAATGAACCTCCATGGGGCTACCACCCAGCCTGAACAGTTATCAACTCATGGCCAATTAATTGTTTCATCTTTTTCTCATGCCATCATTTTAAAGCAAATCCCAGATACCAGATCATTTTATTTTAAAATAATTACAGAAAACAAGAAAAGGAGCAACCACTAGGATTGTGTCAAAAACACTAAAGACCAATTCAAATAGACACCCACTAGGCAAGGATGGGTCAATTTGAGCACGAAAATTTGATAATTACAATTGTTGCAAACACATCAAATAGGATTATATCTACAAGTTTAAAAGAATTCTAAAGCAACTCAATTGATTGATTACTGTCGATGGGTAAGGGAATGAACTCATTATTTAGAAATTGTTTTTTTTTAAAAAGAAACAATCATGCATTTATTCTGCCTTTTCTATACAAACTGTACCTCAGGGTGATCAATTAGGTTTTACCATACCTTGCCTTTGTCTTTGCTTTCCTGGTCTAACGATTCTAATCTTCCCTCCTGCAATGGATGCCCCTGGCTACATAGGGGTAGGGTAGGAAGGAGAGAAGCTATGTACAGTATACAGGGTTATGCTTAAAAGAAAAAGATTGGAATAGATTTTTAAAATATATTCCTATAACCATGTAATGTTCTCCTAGGATCTTTATAAATGTTAGCCAGCTACTTCCTCATGCAGCCCAGAAATAGCCGGAGTCCCACTGATGGGAAGGGAAAGAGGCCCAGATGAGGTCCAGATGAAGAACTTATCAGTGTGCAGGTTGTATTGGTTAGGGTTTGTACTTGGCTGCGTATAATAGAAACTCATCTGTAGATTTTCAACCAAATAAGAGTTTGTCCCATATAAAAAGAAGCCTGAATGCAGACTTTCTAGGATTTGTATGATAGCTCAATGATGCCATCAAGAAACCCAAATCCTTTGATCGGCCCTCCTTAATGTATGGTTTTCATCCTCACAGCCACAAAGTGGTTGCCTCTTCCAGGCATTATATCTGTGTTACAAGCAGGAAGAAGGGAAGGAATTGAAGGGTGAAAGGCAGAAGGCCTCCTTGCTAGCCTTGAGAACCAACGGGGCTCCCAGTCATGAGACCCACAAGCGACCACAACCTGAGAAACAGGTCTGGAGGCGCTTGCTTTGCACTCAACCTCCTCAGGCCCAGCAGAGCCGCCCCGTGGCAGCCCAGAGTTTGTGCAGAGCGGAGGCTTTGCTGGTCTTGGAGCTTTGCCCGAGGGGGGCAGTCATCTGACTGACACACATGTGGGGGCCTGCTGGAATGCTCTAAGGGACAGAAACTGATTGGTTCCAGCTTTGGGCTCTCCCTTAGGCCTTGCTCTAGCCAAGGAGCACTATCTTTCTTTCTAAACTCGAGGTTCCTCCCCCTTCTTTCTTTTTTCCTCCTTTCCTCTCTCCTTCCCTCCCTCCACCCTCCCACACTACCTTTCTCCCTCCCTTCCTCCCTTCCTTTTTTTTTCTTCCAGGTGCCTTTTCTGCACTCACGGTGGGCCTTGCTCCAGATGGCGAGCCCCACTTCCACACTCTCCCTCTGCTGCTGCCCAGAGCCACTATCTCCCCAAGGCAGCTCTTATATGCCTCTGGTCCCTCGGTGTTTACTCCTGGCGCCCCGCCCAGGGGATGTCCCCTGATCACCCCGGGGACTTTTGTTCGTAAGTCCCATGGTACTCAAATAGTCAGAGAGAGTTCCTGGCAGGTTAAATTTCAGGCAACCAACAGACAAGATGCAGTATTCAGTTTTTACTTTGTCAGTTTAACCATCTTTTTTTTTCTTTCTCATTCTCCCTCCACATTACTATCCTTGTATTATCATCTCCAGCTTTTCTGTGACCAGTTTCTGCAGGCAGTCAGGACATATATGAAGGATTTGATATATGTCCCAACCTTGACTCTTGTTAATCATTAGAATCAACAGGAGATATATTTTTTAAAGATTTTCGAGAATGACCCTCTTTTTTCCCCCCTTACCATGAGCTCTTTGAGGTCAAGAATCAGGATCATGCATTTCCCAGCATGCTTGTTCAACACATATCTGTGGAATGAATTAACGAGTTACTGGCAAATGCAGTTATTTAAAGGTTAGTGAGTTAATAGGAAGGTGCAGGTTATGCTGCAGTAATAAAGAGCTCAAAAATCACAGTGGCATAAAATAACAAAAGTTCTTGTTTCTCACTCACAATACCCATCCTTTGTGAATTTTACTGTGTCATCCTCACCCCTGACCCCAAGCTGCTCACTTATCTGCAACATTGCCAGTTGCTTTCTAGAGAGAAAAGATGCATGGCAAATCTTTGACTTGCTTTTAAAGCTGCTCAAATTTCATTTGCTAGAGCAACTCACACAGCCATATTTATCTTCAAGGAGGAAGGAAGTGCAGTTGTTGTATGCTTGGGAGAAGAATGAAAAGATTGGGGGCGGGGGAGGGAAACTAACATGAACAGGGTACCTACCATGAACTAGAAGTTTTAACTTATCTGTCCAATCTCACTATTATTATTATTATTCCCATTTACAAATGAAAAATACTGAGGCTCAGTTAGGTCAAGGGGCTTGCCTAATATCAAGCAGCTCTCATTTGTGCCCAATATTGGCTCCACAGGCCAAGTTCTTTCTATTAATCCTCCCTGTTATATGACTGCAGTTTTTAGTTGCTGCCTAACCAAGTTAGTTGCATTTTTCCTGTTGGGATTACAAGCTTAGGCGATTCCTGTGGATTTTTTTCTACCACCAGCTGGTTGACAATCTAGGATAATTATCTACTTCCTAAGAGGACCCATGTTGCTTATTTAAAAATCACAGGTGTAAATATCAGAATAAAACCCTGGTGTTCTCTAAAAAAATGTCCTCCGCAGGCCCCCAACCCTGGGTTGACTCTGTTTTCCTTTTGTTTGAAGTTGGCTCCTTTTTTTTTTCTTTTCTTTTTAATATGAACTCCCATTCCAGTTCAATGAGAATAATAAAAGCAGAGAGAAATTTCTGTGGGATTCAGGGACAAAAGTACTCGCTACTTTGCTTTCGACAGTGGTTTCAGCAGCGGCATTTAAGCGACACATTCAAATTATTGCTCTTTCTTCTTCTTTCCCTTCCTATCTATTAAGGAGATGAGAAATGATGAATGCCTGTGGTTTTTACATTAGGGACAGGACTTTTTTCGGGCTTAAATGCTCAGGAAGTACAAAAATTGAGTTTCTCTTTGCAATACCAGCTCAGCTCAGGGCTCCTGAATACCAAGGTGGAAGCAGTGCGGAGGCAGGGCTGGGCGGAGGGCGGGAGGGAGGAGTCTATTGATTTCATCAAGGGACTTGGAGTCCAAAACCCTGTCTGTCTTCCTTATTCCAGCAAAGACGTCCTGAGTGACCTCCAGGGACTTCCTCTGTCTCTCGGAGCCATGTCAGCAAGGATACAGGGATAAGGAGACCGGCTGGGAAAGAGGCCCAGCATCAGGACAGCCCATTCCGAGGGCAAGCACTTCTAAGAGCTCAAAAAAGTGGTGCCCTGCTGGCTTCCTCCTGCTGCTGCATTCTCTCTGGCTCAGAATTTCACTATAAAATATAGTTTAAAATATTGGTAAAGAAGCGATGTTTGTCTTGAGCCTCAACTGTGGGATGAGGAATGTACTGCTGTACATTTGAATGCTGAGATAAATTACTTAGTTTTATTCAATTCATAAAAGTGAAATAAAAGGAATATTATGTATTCCTTTTTTTGGAATTCTCCCTTAATTTGTCCCAATATCATTATATTTCATGGAAATCTTTATCATTGGTAGTTTGGGATAGAGCCATGTCCTGGCTTCATTGTAGATGGAATTCCCTTGACCATATGATTTTGTTTTGTTATTTTTTATTGACTTTATTGGGGTGACATTGGTTAATAAAATTATATAGGTTTCAGGTGTACAATTCTATAATACAGCATCTGTATACTTTATTGTGTGTTCACCATCCAAAGTCAAGTTTCCTTCCATCATC